CGCAGTCTCCGTCTATGAGCGGGGGAGGGGGAGGGCGGATCGCTGGTATCTAGTGTAAGAAATAGACAAGGGATGAAGGCTCCAGCCAGCTCACATTTTTAAACTCGAAAAAACAGACGAAAAGAATGAAAAATAAAATCAAAAAAAAAATACCAGGTTGAAGAATATTTGTTGCTCCTTCAAATTTCGCCAAAGCCTTACCTACATTTTATTGATATCTGTAGAATAAATCAAGAAAACTACACAAATTGACCCCACTTAGGAATTCCTAACGGTATGCCTGAACGCACGGCACAGCTGGAGGCGTGGCCTGTTCAGCATTTTGTCAACAACCAATCACAAGATTGGTTACGAACCACATCGAAGTCACGACTCGGTTAGCCTTGCTCAACTGTAGGTAAGACTTTGGCGAAATCTGGGCCGTTTCCGCTCCGTTTCATTGAACGTTTTGTCTTATGTGGGCCATTGTATTGCAATGAATAAGTAATTAGCGTCAGACATAGCCTGTTTTAGGTGGCTGAACAGAACAATACTTGTGAAATGATTGATCCTAAACAAGTATTCAGATACCGGTATTCACCGGCGGGTCTGTGGATACTTTGGCCTACTTTCAAGCATGAATATATAGATGGAAAACTGATGACTTTTCAGTATCATTCCAGACATTGCGATATATATATTAATAACAGTGATCACCACTATTGGGTTCCAAAATTATTTACGATCATTCAAAATATAGTGGTCATGGCTATCCTTTCAACCCAGTACTGACCTTTATGACTGTTGCAACGCCACGAGCAGAGAAAAGGAAAGCTGAATTTGATTCAAAGTGGCTACACTTAATCCATGGATTGGACAAACACCCAACAACAACGGCAAGGAAGTTTGTCAGTTTTATTCAAGATATAAATTTTCTGTTTTACGCATTGGAGCTACACAGCATGATGAAAGCCCTTCCGATGTGATCTCATTTGTACAGAATCTATTTGCACACGACTCCCAGTGTCTTCTCCTCGAGCAGACAGTAATGTTTCACATTCGTATTCCCATGGTTTCCATCTTTCTCAAATAAAACAAAGCAGTTGATTTTACTCAATGATTATTCTCGTTTGATATTTTTAAACAAAATATGCACTCATTAAAAAATTAGTAAATATGCGAGTTTTTTGTTTTTGCCGGACAAGAAAAACAAAATGCCGGTAGTTTTTTGTCGGGTCGATCGTGATCTTCGGTTTATATCAAAAGCGTGTCTCACAAATGAGGTATTTTTTTAGAACGATAATTTGATAGCAACTAAACAAATTTCAATCGTTGGCGTATGTAAGCACTGGACCATTTACTATCAAGGTCTCAAAATCCTGACGAACATTAAACCGTTATTTTTCTAGGTATGTTATACACACTTTGCAGTTGTACAAAATTAAATTAATTTCTCTATTTTGATGTTTTAAGCATATTCACCATGTTTTAATGTCAAGAATTTATCAAATAAACAATCTGTAGTGTT